ACCATATGTAAAAAATGCTCCAAATAATTGTTAATAAGACAAACATATATTAAACAAACATAAAAGGTTCCACTTTACACCTATCAGAGTGTTAAAGTTAACAAGAGTAAAATGACAAATAGTGGAGGGACTACTGGAAAACAGGTACACTGATGTATTTTAAGTGGAGTTGTGAATTGGTCCATCCACTCTGAAAAATAATTTGGAACTATTTACAGTGTATGCCTTTAACCCAACTATACCACTACTAGATCTTTGCCCCTGATGAAATCAAAGAAGGAGGAAAAGGAGCAGCTATCTTTGTAAGAAAAAAGTTTATTACTGCTATTTTGTAATAGCCAAGAAGTGGAGGGAGTACCCACCTATTAGGGAATGGCTGAACAAATTGTGGAATATGAATGTATTGGAACATTATTGTGCTGTAAGAAATAAAATGAATAATTTAAAAAGAAATTGAAAAGGCCTCTGTGATCTGATGCAGAGCATAGTAAGCAGAGCTAGAACAGTTTACACAATGAAAACAAGGTAGAGAGAAAAAAAAACTTTGAAGGAAGGAATGACTTATTAAATCTATGCATAAGGAAAGAATTTATGACCAAATGAGATAGAGAGGCTCACAGGAGGTAAAATGGATAATTTTGATTACCTAAAATTTTTTTGCACAAATAAAATAATGCATCTAAAATTAAAAGAAAACAGGAAACTGAAAAAAAAAACTTTGATGTTAGTCTATTTCCAGAGTGTCCACATTTTTCCCTTTAAAATTTTTATTTAGGACAGAGTTAATGTGGCAGAGTGAGAGTCAGAATTTTTACCCAGCTCACCCAGCACAACTCCTCCACAAAAACCTACCAAACACACCAGACCAAATTCTGATTGAGAAAGCAAAGAAAAAGCCACTGAGTCATTTTTCTAGCCCAGAGCACCCTAGGAAGACAGGAAGGTCTGTAGGGACTGGCCAGGAGTGCAGTCCAATGACAGCAGTGGGGACCATTCCAGCATTTAAGGACAATAAGAGGGTGGGAGACTGAATGCCAGCAACCACCAGGGCAGAAAGAGATCCCAGAGACTCTTCATACAATGTTGGGAGAAAGAACTAGTGACAGCTGGCAGCTATGTCACCCATTACCAGTTTTGAGTCACAGTTCCAGGGTGGAGAGGAGCAGTTGCAAGCAAGAAGGACCTGGGTTGTATATTTATTATCTCTCCTTTCACGCTGACACACCACATCATAATTTTTTAAAAAATCCCTTACAACGAACAAGCATTGCTCTTTAAAACAAATTCTCATTTTAGCAAAATTCAGAATGTGTCTCATACTGCATTTTTATGTCTTTTACCTCCCTGGGAAGAGGTGAGCGGCCTAATTCATCTTCAATTCTCTGTACTTATGGATTATGATTGAATTAATCAGAGTACTGAAGTTGTTGGGTTTTTTTTAGCACAGATTTTTTCTAAGTTCCAGATTCTCTCCTCTTCCTAACTTCTTCATTCATTGAGAAGGCAATAAAAACAGAACCCATTATAAATATGTATAGTCATGCAAAATAACTTTCAGCATTAGCCATGTTTTTAAAAAAGCAATTAAAAAAGGGGAAAATATATACTTCAATCTGCACTCTGAGTCCATAAGTTCTCTACCTGGAGGTGTATAATACGTCTCTTCATGTGTTCTTTGGAATTGTGATGGGTCATTGTGTTGATTGGAGTTACTAATTCTTTCAAAGTTGGTTATCTTTATTATGCTGCTATTACTGTATTCTTCTGGTTCTACTCATTTCTTTTTGCATCAGTTCATACAAGTTTTCTCAGGTTTTTCAGAAATCATCACCTTCATCTCATCTTAAAGCACATTATTTTATCACATTCATATACTGTAATTTATTCAGCCATTCTCCAAATAATGGATATTCCTTCAGTTTCCAATTCTTTGCCATCACAAAAAGAGCTGCTGTTAAACATATGCATCATTTTCCTCTTTCTTTGATCTTGGGGTATAGAACTAGTAGCAGTATTGCTATGTCAAAATTGCTTTCCCGAATGGTTGGATTAGTTCACCTGAAAAGAGATAGAGGCAAATTATATTGTTTAAAGATATTATGGAACTTGAAAAAACTATCATCAATAGTAAATAGTAAATGATCAATACTAAAAACACAGAGTAAAAGTTAACTAAACAGCTAAAAGATGTAAATAATATCAAAAAGTGTAGCTTGCTTTAATGTTCTATCTCAGAGTGGACAAATGTGACACAAAGCTAAAAAGGGCTAATGGAACTGAACACACCATGTGGGAAAGTAGATTGAAAAATTACATCTAAAAGATATATGGTGTTTTGCAAATGTGCATATAAAAGAATATACTTGTTTTTCACATTACCTTTACAAAAACAGACCATTAATTTGAGTACAGAGAAAATAAGCAAGTATAAAAATTACTATTTATGTTCTTAACAAATCATAGCTCAAAAATATAATTAATACAGAAAGCAATAACATATTAAATAACACGTGAGTCAAAAACACATTTAAAAAATAACCATGAATAAGAGAATTTTAACAATGATAGCTGTTGTTAGTCATTTCAGTCACGTCCAAGTCCTTATGACCCCATTTGGGATTTTCTTGGCAAAGACACTAGAGTGGTTTGCCATTTCCTTCTATGACTTTTTTTTATATAGATGAGGAAACTAAAGCAAACAAGGTTAAGTGATATGCCCAGGATCACACAGCTAATAAGTTTCTGAGGCCAGATTTGAATGCAGGAAGATGAGTCTTCCTGACTTCAGGTCTGGTGCTCTATCCACTGCGCCACCTCGCTGCCCCTTTGATAGTGATATAGCATGCCAAAATTTGAGATGCAGCTGAAGCAGTTCTCTGAAGAAGCATTACAATGCTTGAAAATATACGTGATCAAAATAGAAAAAGTTGGAATTAATTAAGTAGGTAATATAAGAAACTGGAAAATCAATGAGTAAATAAACCTAAATAATCACGAAAAGGAATGATTAAAAATTAGAGTAGAAATAGCTATATTAGGAAATTTAAAAGCTTCTGAAATTATAATGAAAACTAAAATTTATTTCTTTGTATGAACCAATAAAATTGATAAACATTTAACTAACCTAATGGGAAAAAAAGACCAAGGAAAATCAAGTCAACAGAGGAAAAATAAAAAAGAATTGTCAGAATCTACTGTATACAATTGCATCCTAGCCAAACTGAGAATTTAAAGTCCCAAATTAATCAAACATTAAGTACAGATATTAAACAACCAAATGTCAGAAACTGAAATTGAATTAGTTATGAAGGAACTACAAAAGAGAAAGAGAGAGGAATTCTGGTCATTAAAATTTTACAGGTGGATTTTATCAGCCATTTAAAAAACAGTGCCATGCTATATTTTTGTCAAAAACTGAAAAAGAAAAATCCCTAGTAAATTTCTTTCAGGAGACAAGTATGGTCCTAATGTCTACACCAGGGAAGACAAAGAACAAGAACTATATAGTAGTGTATATTAGTAATATAATGGAAATGTTCAACAAAAATGTATTCTCCTTCCATTTTTTTCTCTTGAACTTTATTTCTAATTTCATTATTTTAATCTTTTGTTTCATTTCTCCCAGCCGGTCTTGGAGTCCATGAGGCTGACTTTTTTTTCTTCTGAGCTTTACTTTTAATTGTTGTGAATTTACTCTTCTGTGTCTGCCTCTTTAACGTCTCTTAATCCAGAGTATTTCTTCATTGTTTTCTGTTTCCTTCTGCTTCCTCATGTTTCTAGCCTCACTTCCCACATTGAGACTTTGTGCTCGTGGAAGTCTATCCAGCTCTCTTGGATGGGTTGACCGTGTATGGTCCTGTCATCTTAGTGCTACTGCTGAAGCTCTTTTGAATGGGGTGGTTGACAGTAGACCTCATCCTCTGCCTTAATTCCTCTCTTCTGTCTCAGTCTCCTGGTCATACAGTTATAATGGTGATTAGGTGCTTTACTGCCAGATTCAGAGTCCGTCCTACCCTCCCACCCTAGATAGCCTCTTAAAAAAAAAAGGAAACAAAAAACTGCATTTAAGGGTTACACCAACTTTAATTCCCACACAAGGTAGACATATTACTAATCTCACATGTGACAATTCACTTACTTTCAGGGAATTTTCTAAGTAGTTTTTGAGAGACACAATTTTGCTGCTTCACATATGGCCTGGAAAGCACCCTTGAAGTGTGAAATTAACTTAAATAAATTCACAGAACAACAATAATTCCCTTTGTCTTACTTGTTAATGGGAAAGTCTATGTCATGCTGGAATCATGAATGTTATCTATAAAAGAAGAAGCAGTGAGGAAACATCATCCCTTTTCCCTCTTTCCCAATGTCAACGGCCTAAGAGATCTGCAAAAGGAATAGCGGGGGGACTCACTTGAGCAGATGTTTAGCTAGGCTGATGCCGCTTTAGTAACAGTGACGTCCTGATGACCTATCCAAGCTATACTCTCTTCTTTCTCCATTCCTACCTCAGCAAAAAAGTTGCTGGGAGAACAGATAGAACCCCTTGTGTATTGGGGAAAATGGGTGAGGGAGAGGAGGGAGAAACAAACGTCACTTTCCTGGGCGATTCCAAATCGATAGGGCTAATGATATAACCTTTTCTTTTTTTATTCGATTACGTGAGCAAAGCGGGAAGAACTGATGAGAATTTGAAGGGCTTGCAGCCCTGGAGTGAGTCAGGGAAGGATGCAGGGGACAAGGTGAAGATGCATTCTTTCCTTTCTTCTCCACTAGTGGGCGCCCTAGACTCAAGTCTTAGAGCGGGCAGTCCTGCAGGACGCTAAGACCTGAGGCCAGAGTTGTGTGATTGGTGAAAGCCAACGTGTAGCCTTGGAAGGGGATGGACTTTTTTCCAGCCTCTGACGCCTGGCCGTTTTCTTGGGGTTGGAGCGCGTGGGTGAGGCTTGTCAGAGCCATGCCCCGCCTACTCGTTTTTTTCTGGAGGTGTGGCTCTCCTTTCTCTTCCTAGCGCTCGGGACCTTTTCCTATCACTCCTTAGCTGCAGGCTGGCTAGGTTTGGGTCAGGTAGCAGAAAAGGTCCGTGCACCGTGACTGTGGGAGTGGGAAGACTAGGAGGGAATATCTGTAATTGCTGGAGCTGACCCATTTTCCCGCGGCTCTGGTTGAGAGGGGAAGAAGAAAGGCAGTCTTCCGCCAGCATTTGCACCAGTTTTTCCCTCAGTTTTTGCTGAAGAGAGGACTCAGAAATTTTCTTCTTTATTTTTCCTTTATTGTTATTATTATTATTATTATTATTATTATTTTATTATTATTATTATTATTATTATGCTGGGCTTAAGTAATGGCTTGTGGGTGCTCGTTATGTAGGTGTGTTTATTCCTTGACTTACCTTGGCTATTGTTTGTAACCTTTGGGTATTTCTTCTGTAGTAAGTAAGCTCTGCTTACCTTCACCATGGAGCTTTCTCACTTTCCTAAAATCTATTCCTTTCCCTTAGAAACTGAAACTGCATTGGTACTAATTGATAAACTAGATTGACATGAGGACCTCTGAAAAGTAGTTTATATTACTAAAACTTCCAAGAAATAACTTGTGAATTCATTTTCCCTCTTCTCTCCCTTTTCCTTCCTTTCTCCCTCTATCCACCTTTTCTTTTCTCCTTTCTTTTACAGCATCAGAAACTTAACTTCAAACCAGGTATTCCCAAACTGGATGGAAATGTCTTGAATTCACCCTTCTCAAATGAGGAACGTGTCTTTTGTGGAAACTCTGAATTTCCCAGCAGCCTAGATGAGCAGTGATTTTTCAAAGAAGTTGGAATGGAATTAAATGACATGATTTGTCTAGGTTATTGGATTGATGAGATCCAGTGGCTAACCATGGTCACTCTGTTCATCGCCGCCTTGGTGACTCTAAGCATATATTTGGTGCAATATGCCTTGGTCATTGTTGGATCCAGTCCCTGCAGGATGTCAACAGACTCCTTCCAGCCAGTACAGAAGGAAGATTTGGGTTTCTTGCTGAAATGGGTACTATCCCTAAACAGTTGGAGGAGCCAGTGGCAAGTGGCTTGGGTGACAGCTTTGAATGAGGAAGCTAAACATAAAGGGGTGAGTTACTCCATGTGTGTCCACCACTATTTGTGAGGTATTAGCTTTGCTGGCTGCTGGGCAGAGCATACAGATTTTTGAAATGACCCCGTGTACCGTTTAAAATGAAACAACCTCCTACCATTCCCAGCCCCCATCCACCTCCCCCCTCCCATCCTATACTCATCCTCATATCCACTGAACAGCTCAGGTTGTCACAGAGAATGTATTAAATAGAAGTGAGCCTTGGACTTGTGGATAGACTGAAGTTTCAGGGAGATCCTTATATGAAACAAGGGAAGAAAATGCTTCAAAAAAGGGAGAGATAGAGAAAAGGGGATCTGGTTTTAATTGAGGGAGTCAAAACAGAGGTGAATAGTATTAAAATGAAAGACTATGACACAGCCCTTTGTGATGAACTTTCATAAGTACCTTGAGACTGTATGGGTTTTTTATTGATCTTTTAAAAGGATATTTGGAATGTGCTCATAATTTTAGATTTGTTTATTTTTGTGTAAATCACTGATTCAGAAAAGATTTCCAATTCCAAATTAATATCACTAGGTGAAATCTTTGCCAATATGATATATCATTTATGTTCACTTCATTGGCTGACATTAATAACTGTAATTCCCCCTCCCTTTTTACTAATTTGATAGATTGATAAGTGCAACTTAATTATTTTATGTGCATTATATTAGGTTCATAAAATGCAGTTTTTAGTCAAGTAAAATTTTCTTGTGATATAGTAAATATCTGAGTTTCAGAAATATGAACTGGTTTCCTTACTCCCTTTATCCCTGTTTTTCAAAAGTTCCTGACTGTCACCATGGCATCTTTAGCATATGCTTTGTATACCTACTCAATAACGGTGGGAGGTAGATTAGATTACCATGTTAAGTCTCAAAGATTCTGTGATATCTGGATCCCCATAATAATGAGCCATTTCTCATCCTCCATCTTTGTCTTTTAGGGAGAGGGAATTATGTGGAGTTTTTATTTACATTTAGTTCTCAGTCAGGGGACCATCAAAATACCATGAAAAGTTGGACATTACCTAATTTTTTGTTAAAATTTTTTTTGTGAACTTAATAGTCACCAACCAATATAAGATATAAAGATTAGAAAAGTACAAAAAACTGTGAACTTTTGTTACATTTTTTTAAAGACACAAAAAGTTTAACAACATAGTAACAAAGTAGGTCCATTTGTATCTATCTGCATTTTTTTCCCTTTCTGTGTATTTCTAAAAATGTTTTGTTGATAACTCCCCTCTGTTATCACCTAATCCTTTCTCTATTGTATCAAATATGTATATATAGTCAAGCAAAACAAGTCAACACACTGGTCGTGTCAAAGAACACACATATTTCTGTATCTCTCTATCACCTCTTTCAAAAGTTGCCTTACTTTTCCTTAGATATTTCTAGGTTTGAAAAATGGGGCCTCTTATACCCTTTCCACTGATGTTTGGAAAGAGTCAAATTGAGCTTCAAATTCCTTACTTGAAAAGTAGGGGTAATAATATTTGCACTGCTTATCTCATAGAGTTTTTTTGAGGAAAAAGCTTAGCATGCTTTATAAATGTGAATTATTATGTAAGGCACATTAATTTTAATTTCTCAAAGGCCAGTGTGAGTTCCTGGTTCTTCAGATTAATTTTAAATCAATTAAGGGCTATATGGTGTGACTATAATGAGATATAAACCCTTGTGCTTGACATATTGAGGCATCACTCATAATTTTGCATATTGTCTCATTTCTAATAATGTAGAACAGACATATTGAGGCATCATTCATAATTTTGCATATTGTCTCATTTTGAATAATGTAGAACAGAGGTAGGAAAACTACTGCATATAGATTGAAGGTAGCAGAGATATGATTTTTAGTGTAATAACAGTATTACCCAGGCTAACCTTAGGTCAAATTGTAAAAATTTCATATTTCCCTATTAGCATCCCTCCTCCTGCCTTTGATAACATTGCTAAAGTTTAGGTTAGGGCTTAGTGTCTAGAGAATTCTGAGGCACCAATGCTATGCTGACCCTTCCAGTAACAAGTGAATTAACAGAAGCTTAGCCACTTTGGAGAAGTTGTTAATTCCTACCCTAAAGTAAGATAGCTATTAAGATACTGTAATAAATTTGGTAAAATTAAGCTTTGCCAGAGAAAGTTGAAATTTCTTGTGGGGGGAAATCGACTATTTCTTGTTTCTGGGGGGGAAAGTTGGCTTATTTTTTGCAGAGGTAAAGAGATCAAAGGGCTTGATTGATATATAATAAAACAATAGATCCATATCCTCTTTAGATAAATTTAAGTGATCTTTAAAGTCTGTTAGCTAACAAGCACCTATTAAGCTCTTATTATGTGCCAAGCACTGTGTTAAGTGTTTGGGGATACAAGGAAGGGCCCTGTCCTCAAGGAACTCACATTCTAATGGGGGACACAACATACAAACAAGTATATACACAAGATTCAATCAATCTCTCTCCCTCTGCCACATATAGATACATATATATGTATGTATGTATACATACATACATACATACCTATATACATACATACACACCCCTATATATAAAATATACACACATAAATATGTGTGCAGAAAGTGGGATTTGAGCTGAATCTTGAAGGAAGCCAGGGAAACCAGGAGGTGGAGGGGTAGGAGAGCATTCCAGCCTTGGGGTACAGCCAATGAAAAGGCACAGAGTTGAGAGATGGGGTTTCTTGTTTAAGGAACACCAAGAAAATCAGTATAGTTGAATCATACACTATAAGGAGGGGAGTAAAGTATAAGAAGACTAGAAAGGGAAAATGTGAAAGGCTTTAAAAGTCAAAGTACTGTTTTGACTTCTTGGAAATTACCTTCACTTTTATTGCAAGAGTTCTAGTCTTGGAGCTGGCCCTGAAGAAACAAAATATTTACTAATTGTATGAACCTGGGCAAGTCACTTAACATCTCTGACTTGGCTTCATCAATGTAAAATGTTGAAAATACTACCCCCACAGGATTATTATGGAGAAAGGCCTTTATAAACCTTAAATGGTTAGGAAAAAATGAAATTTCATTGGATAGGATCATAAATGTGGATGTAGAAGAAGCCTCAGAGGGCATCTATTCTGATTCCCTTATTTTGTAGACAAGCAAACTGAGGCCCAAAGAGTTTAAGTGTTGCTCACAGTTCCATAGTCTAGTAGGCCAGGCCTGACCCGGGCCAGTTTAGTGACAGGCCTGGAATCAGGAAGACCTGAGTTAAAATCCAGCCTCAGAACACTTATGAGCTGTGTGACCTTAGCCAAGTCACTTAACCTCTACTTGCCTTAGTTTCCTCATCTGTAAAGGTGATAAATAATAGCACCTATGTCCCAGGGTTGTTGAGAGAATCAAATAAGATAATAATTGGGAAGTGCTTAGCACAGTTCCTTGCACATAGTAAGTGTTACATAAATGTTAGCTATTCTTATTACTATAGATTCTAGGTTGTCTTCAGCTAGAAAATTGTTTCAAACTGTCCTTTTGTGGGTTCTGCCACTCCAGAATTCATTGTGCAGCATGATTTTAAAGTTGTTTGGAGGAGAATTTGGGAGAGTTCAGATGAGTCCCAGGCCTTTTTTCTGCTGTCTTGCTAAAATGAAGAGTCATTCCTAGGTCATTGAACAGTTAACAAAAGGAGGTTTACTTAACCATGATATAGTAAGGATATGGAATAAGGGAATAGTGGCACTTAGCTTCTATAGATTCAGCCCCCCTTGTCTCCATATGGAAGCACATCCTTTCAGCAGGGAAGGGTATGGTGACTTCTATGGTCTTCAGACATTCAGTAAGTCAAAGGAGTTCCCTGTGGATGAGACTTTCTGTGCCAGGAGGCACATCAACCAATCCAGATCCTGAGGATAGCTTTATCACCTTTTAGGAAAAATTAACCCACGTATAGGGGAAGTGTTGAAAACCCTTCTAAATAGTACTTCTATCACAATGGGTCATTCATACAACCGCATGTGATAGTCCACACCATAGGCATCACCGTGTTTTTTCATGTTTGGGTAATTGAGTAGCTATACATGGCATTTAGGATTCTGCAACATTCTGGGGCTTGATGTCATTAGCAAAATGTCATCCACAAATAGCATATGAAGGGACCTTACCATATGTAGGTCTAAAAGCAGATGGGGATAGGGAGTTTGACTGAAGAGGATCATTAGCCACTGTAACTTCTACCCTTGTGTGGATGGAGCCTGTTTCCAGCTCCTCCCTTCAGATGGGATTCTCTTCTAGTCAGTGCTCTAGGTTTGCCTCTTAGAGGAGGGGTTCCTTTAAACCTGTAGTGGTAATGGAACAGTGGAAATTGAAAACTGACTGAGGGTTTTTTCTTGCTTCTCTTTGCCAAGCTGTCTTCCTCCAAAACAATTTTGGTTCATTCTCTGTCTAGGTTTCTTTTTATTCCAAATTATCTTAATCTTTTCCTTGCTTTGGAGGAATCTTTGATAATATGTATTAGTAACATTTCTTTGGTTCATCTTAAGCCTTCAACTCCTTATCTTAGCTGTGTGCAATTGATCATAATCTCCCTCTCATTTGCCTTTGAGCAAATGAAATATTATACAGACCAGAAATGCATTGGGGTAAGCATAATTTTATCTTGATAGTAGCTTTTATAGGATACAAAGACAGAAATGCGACAGTCTGGGAGGCGGAGCCAAGATGGTGGAGTGAAAGCAGTGACTTGCTTGAGCTCTCCCCTAAACCCCTGCAAATACCTATAAAAATGGCTCTAAACAAATTCTAAAAACAGCAGAACCCACAAAAAGACGGAGTGAAGCAAATTTCCAGCCCAAGACAACCTGGATGATTGATCAGAAAGGTATATCGCTCTGGGCTTTGAGGGGAGCGCAGTGTGGCATGGGCTCGCAGGCTGCAGCGAACCTAAAGCAGGCCTCAGAGGACTGAATCTCAGGCAGCTGTGGCAGTTTCCAGATCTCAACCCATGAACGCCAAAGACAGCTTAGAAGGTCAGT